GAACCTGAACCAGCCTGTGACTATGGTGGAAGCGACAGTATGTGAGTTCTGAGGCTAGGTCATAAAAGGTGATACAGCTTCCATCTCTTGAGATGCTCAGTTAGAATCTAGCCACCATGCTATGAGGTAGCCCAGTAGCTACATGGAGAGGCCACGTGGAGATACTCTGGCTGATAGCTCAGCTAAGGTCCCAGCAGACAGCCAGTCTCAACTGCCAGACATGGGAGTGAAGATGTTTCCTGATGATTCTAGACCCCAGACTTTAAGTCTTCCTGGTGAAGCCCTGACATTATAGATCAGAGACAAGCTGTCTCTGCTGTGTTCTGACCAAAAAAGTGAAAGATAATGAAATGATTGTTGTTTCAAAGCATTAAGTTTTGGGTAATTTGTCATGCAGCAATGGTAACTGGAACAGACCCCAACAACTATCAAGACTAATGACATCTTCATAGTACTCATCCCACAAGATCTATCTTCAGCATTTGACTTTGGCCATTTCTTCCTCCTCAAATTCCTCTAGTCAATGACTAGAAGAGACTAAGAAGACACAACAAAATGTAACATGGGATTGTGGATTGGATCCTGGGACAGAAAAAAGGACACTAGTGGAAAAGCTGGTGAACATCCCTGAAGTCAGCAGCTTGGTTAATAGTATTCTATCGACATTAATTTTCTGGTTTTGATAGGTGTATTATGGTTATGTAAGTCATTAACATTATGGAAAGTGGAATGAAGAGTATATGGGAATGCTGCACTATTTTTGCAACTTTTTAGTCAGTCTAAAGTTATTTTAAAACAGAAACTTAAATAATTACAAGAATAACACACAAAATAATGACAATATTTATTTATTTAAAAATTTTTTTTGGGCCGGCCCGGTGGCACACTCAACCCGGTCAGCTCACTGGCTGAGCGCGGTGCGGACGCGACACCGAGGGTTGCGATCCCGTTACCGGTCACGAAAGAAGACAAAAAGGGGAAAAAAAATTTTTTTTTTGCATAGTACTTTTTTTATTGGTTATGAATATTCATGAGATGCAAAGCTGATTGTCACCACTTGTGCCCAAGATGTGATGGCCAGATACATACTGGCTGCATGCCCATTACTACAAATTGTGATTATACCCTGTGTCCCCCACCCAATTATCCCCGACCTCCCTCCCATCCCCCTTTCCCCACAGCTCTGTTTACAATAGCCAAGATATGGAACCAACCTTAAAGTCCATTGATGGACAATTGGATAAGGAAAATGTGGTATATATACACTATGGAATACTACTTTGCCATAAAAAATGACAACATTCATCATAAAAGGGTTTCCCCTTTCTCTGATTGCTCTTTCTCATTCTCCATTAGTAAGCATTCTCTGTTGCCACCCCAAAGGCTCATGCTACCTAGCATTCAATTTTGACCTTTTGCTGTCTATATATTCTCCTAATGCACATAGCTACACTCAACACCTGAAGGGTACCTCTTCTGAGCGCTGGACTGAATACTCACCTGCCTCCAGTATTCCAGATCCACCTGGGTGCTACTTAGGCCAGACCCAGCTGATTGCTTTTCTCCTCCTTTCTTCCTTTAGTTGCACCATCTAGTTTCTCCTGATCAGGTCCCCATCTCAGCAAGTGACCTCACCACCAACTCTGAGACCCCTGGTAGAAACCTCAGTTCCACTAATGCAAATGACTCAATCACCTAAATTGTTTTCAGATTTTGTCATCTCCTCTCTACTCCCACAGCCAGATCCCTGTCATCTCTTATCTAGAATAATGCAATCACCTTCTAACTGGTTTTTCTGCCTCTTGTCTCTTTTCTCTGTCTCAGCTTAATGACTGTCACCAGAGATTATTCTGAAGCACAAATCATGGTCATGGAAGTTTGAAGACTCTGGCTGTTTGGGATAAAGTTCAACCTCCATAACATGAGATACAAGGTCTTTCTCAAAACTGATCCCATATAACCTGTCCAACTTCATCTGTTACCAACCTTCATCCAGTTCCCACCATCTTAAGTACCAGCTGTTCACCTGCAAGCCTTTGCTCAGGCTATTTCCAATGCCAGAAATGACTGGTGAAATCCAAGGTGTCTTCCAGACCCAGCTTAAACGCCCTCTCATCTGGGAATCCTTCTCTGATGCTACCAGTCAGTTAATCATGAATTCCTCCTGCTCTATTTACCTAGTAAAATGTTTATCAAAGGCTGTTATTTTCATATGCTAAATTGTGAATGTCCAGAGGATATAGACTGGGACTTACTCACTACTGTGTCTCTCAGTAAATGTTGAATGAATAAAGAATCAAATAGATATGTAAATGGCTGGATGGATGCCAGGAGGGTAATGTGTGAGTGGAAGGATGGGTGAGTGGATAAATGGTAGGTAGGATAAATAGGTAGGTGATAGATGGGTGGGTTGGTGAGTAAATGGTTAGGTGGATGGTAGATGGGAGGAGAAATGGATGAGAGGTGGCTGATGGTCAGATAGTGCACATGTGATTGGATGGATGGTCAGTAGGTATATGGATGTGGAATGGGAGGCAGGTGGGTAAGAGGGTGGATGAATGACACGGGGTGGTAAGTAAGTGGATTGATATGGGAGTGGTTGTAAGAAAGCACATGAATGAAAAATGGGTGACGGGTGGGTTAGTGCATGGATGGAGAGTGGAATTTGGGGTTAATATCAAGAAAAATCTTAGAAGAAAGTAAAAAAGCCTCACCAAATAGTTATATGTCCTGAGGTCATG